TTCCTTTTTCTATTGGGGAGGCTGGTGGTTTTCACTGTTTCTTTTCATTATGAGTACAATAGTACATTCATTATTTGATCATTGTCTTTTCTTTTGATGTTAAAGGTGGATAAAGTGTATCTCTGCACACCAACAAAAATTGCTGTCCTTGACCATGAGAGGAAGAGAACATTTGTGTTGCGAAAAGATGGACTTCCAGATGCCGGTGAGTTGATGATCTTTATCTGCTTTTAATGGTAGAGAGCCAGCTATCATGGTTAAGTGATAATAGTGTTTCTATGGATGGTGAAGGCAGGGGCACCAGGCCCACAATCAATCTTAAGCTTAAAAATTACCTGTGATCTAAATCCAATGAAAATTAATTTCAAGGCATTCTTTACCACTTTTTGTCAAAGTCGTTTCTCTTAAACTGTCTGTTATTATAGGAGTTCTCTTCCAAAGTTCTACATAGGAAGGTACATGAAACATGATTGTATGTGGTGGTTATTAGTCTTGTCCTATCCTTTTGCAGTGGTGTGGAATCCCTGGGATAAGAAAGCAAAGGCAATTGCTGATTTTGGAGATGATGAATATAAGCAAATGCTTTGTGTAGCAGCCGCTTGTGTGGAAAAACCCATTACCTTAAAACCTGGTGAAGAATGGAGAGGACGGCAGGAGCTTTCTGCTGTTCCTTCCAGTTACTCTAGTGGGCAACTTGACCCCAGAAAGATACTCTCAATGAGTTGAAAACACGCCTTTCTCAGGCATCTATCGTACAGGATCGCTGAGGATGACAGTCAGATTTCCAAGGCTGATTCCTTCCACGCTTCCACAACCAGGCTCCACATTTTACCGAAAAGCAACTGCTCTGGAAATTCATAATTGGGTATTTCTATGTTTCTTAAGGAAACAGGTTGGTAATGTTGGAAATTTAGGTGCCTTCAATGCTTGCTTATTTAATGGCCAAAAAGATGCTTGCTTATAAGTTAAAAACATATGTATTTTTCAATTTGGTCAAGAAATAGGATTCTCTCGCAAGTGTACAAGCAAATCACAAGGGTTTGGTGAGAAAATCATTTACTCTTCAATTTGTAAGACCATATTGAGACTCCTTTAAATGAGATCAATGATATCAGTAGTTTTACTAGTGTCGTTTTGGTTGCCGTGTGAATAGATTGTGTTTCTCATTCTCACTTAAATGATCATTATCAGTTTGCTTGCTGCTAAAATACCAGTGGGTGAAATTGAGTTGTCTTTTATTGGGGGTCATTGGGTCATGAAAAAAATATCAAAATATTTACAAAATGATTCACTTCATAATACTTCTTTTTACCCCAAATGGAGGTAACATAAATACATCTTATATTTGATCTGGACATAGTTGCAACAGCTCTGGACCATGCCAATGCAATGTCGGCCGTCTGGATTCTAAAAAATATGATGCCATGTCAAACACAGAGGACAATGGCAACACATTATTAGTTATTATTATATAGAAGTAGCATCCAGGTGGAGTACTGAGTTAGCCATGATTTGCTGAGAAGGATGAGGAAGCATTGTTGTTAGACCATACAAAAACTCTCCAGAAAGGTCTTTGCTTGCGCTTGTTATTGTGAGCTATCAGCTCTGTTTCTGATCTTCTCAGCATCTCCCACATAACCTGAACATCTTGGTATCCACAGGTCTGCACATCATCATGCAGCTTCAAAAGCCCCGCGCCTAACCAGACCAACAAGACCAGTAAGCAATAAATCATATCCATTCATGTTATGACACATTAGGATAAGGAAATTTAAGCAAAACTAATCTATCATGCTTTGGAGTAGTTGGGATATAAAGTCATTTTCAAGCTGTTTGGTTTTGTTACTTTGTATTCAACTATTGGATGCCCCTAATAGTGTGGTCCATGACTCATATCATCTGTTCCATAGATCAAAGACTATATTGCGATGCATATGTGTTCTAACTTGCGATTAGAATAGTAATATACGTTGTTTTCAGAGCATAAAGTTCCACTGAAAAAGATGTTGATCCTACTTTTATACCTCACCTTTAGGCTTTCGGCGTATGGACCAGCATAATACTAAGATTGGTTAGACAATGAAAAATGATACAAAAGAAACCGATTCTTTTTCATTCATGAACTTCTATTAGCCACCCACATGAAGATGCAAAGAAAGCAATGGTTTTCAGAGTGGATCACGAATTATCAAGTTGGGCTATACTATTGTGTTTCTACCATACTACCACATGCTTGTCTCAGTGGATATAGTCTAGTTTGTATATATCTTTATTTTTAGTGGAACCTTTAAAAAACCTAACATCCGTACAGAAGTAGAACTTTCTTTGTTGTTGAGGAAAATGAGTTCATGAATTATGATGATTGAATTGTTATCAATACTATTATTAAATCAGAGAATAAGACTAACACTACTTTTTTTAGGAGGATTTCAGAAGATTGCATCCATCATCAAGGAATCCAAATATTTAACCCAATTAATCTCTCTCTTTTGGGTGACCTAGAAAAAAAAGGCTTGTAAAATCTAAATTCACAGTGACACAGTAGGGGGCCCTGTTCATATACTTGAGATGGAAACAAACATCAAGCCAATAGAAAATTGAAATATGTCTATCTAAAGTGCTGCCTAATTGTTTTCTGGGCTTGCTTGTTCTTAGCTCTTGAAAAAAAAAGGAAAAATAGAGAGTTCCTCTGCTATTCTTCCATGGAGAATATATGGATTTACCATTTAACAATTTTGATGTGACAATTCATAAAATAAGAACAAATGCAAAAGAAAATTGAAAGGAAGGGAACAAAGGGACCACAAGAAATAAAAGGAGCAAGGACCATCTCCATTTTACTCTGAAAATAGTAATTTCCTAAATTTATGCAAAGAAAATCCGAGTTCTGATTTACTGATTCACGAAGAAGAAATAGAGAAAGATTAATCAAAGAACTAAAAAAAAAAAAACTCTCCTCTATCGAGTTTGAAAATTCTATTCTTTCCAACTTTTTTACTTTTCAAATTTTCAGTTTCAAAATTAAAAAAATCTAGGCGAATAAGATAGTAAATTAAAAAATAAAAAACTTCAACGATAAAATCATTTGAGTAAAGTAATAAGAAAGAAAATGAAATCCTAAAAGAAGATAATCGAAGCAAAAACAAAAAAAATAATAATAAAGATAATCGATGCTGCTAGGAGAGAAATTTCAGAATCCAATACCCCTTTACCGTACGGCACCACCCTCTGCAGCTGCCGGATCGTAGAGAGAACTCACGAGTGAAACGCGACTGCTGCAGTGGCGGAGTACGAATCGGAAAACAAAGAGTCTGGAAATTTAAGCAAAAGAAAAAGAGGGACAGTGCAGAGGAGGAGGAGGAGACGCATCGCACAGGGAATCACGAGGGACACGCGACTGCTGCAGCGGCGGACTACGAATCGGAATAGTCTGGAAATTTAGGCAAACGAAAAACAGAGACAGAGCAGGAGGAAAGAGAGCACGCACCGCTTTTGCGAGCCTTGACGCGAGCGGAAACGGCGAACCAGACTCTCCTGACGGGGAAGATCATCTTATGCCACCACTCCATGAACTTTTCCTTGACCTTAATCTTCCTCTTGTTCTTCTTCCGCTTTCCGCCGACGAGTCTGAACGCAATCGTCTTTAACCCGGCCAGACCGGAAAATCTAGAGACGCAGAGAGAGGAAGAGGAGGAGAGATGTATAAAAATTCTGCAATTTGGATTCTGGGGATGCAGAGATAGAACAGAAGAAGAGAAAGGAATGGAAAAAAAAAAAAAATGGTGTGTTCTCCTGTGAGCAGTAGTTAGCCTTTCCGGTTGTGGTGTCGCAGATATAAATCGTATCACAAGAGATGACCACCGACACGTGACCATCTATTATGCTCATTTACTTTTCTCAAAAAAAAAAAAAACGAGAAAATTACTTTTCTTTTCTCTAACAATAATTGCAATTTTTTGTTTTGTTTTTTTTTTCTTATAAAAAAAAAAGCAAATAAATTGAATTATATCATTAAAATAATATTTTTTTATGTTAATTGCACAATAAAAGACAATCTTTCATCTCATTCCACTCGCATGTAATGTGATTTGAACTTATCTCTTATTTTCAGTGAAAATAAATTTCTATTATAATATTTAAGTAGTTGGCTTAAAATAATAATTAAATATAATAAATCTCTTAGTGTTTTATTTTTTAATTAATATTTTTATTTTGAAATTTAAATAATAAAATAAATTTTTTTATTTTTTATCATAAATATTAATTTTTAGTTTTTACGGTCTACCTTATATAAAATTCATATATATAAAGTATGAAAAATAAAAATATTTTTAATGAATTAGATATATATAAAGATTTATTAATAATAATTTTAGTTTTTATTATGAACTGATATTTTTTAAACAAAACGAGTGTAAAACTTCAATATTCTTCTCATAGCAATAAGTCACTTTACACAACCCATCAATTTTGAAAAATATTTTGGGTTTTTGACGGCTAAGAGTGTTCGTGTCAATTTTTTGTTTGTTTTGATCCTATTTTTTCTTCCAATCGCTTTACATCAACTCGGTATGTTTAACACTTATTTTCTAATAGATTTAAAATAATGATAAAAGACACAAATTATATAAGATTAAAATTTAAAGTCAATAACTAAAATAAATTATGTTATTTAAAATATTAAAAAATAAATTTTATATTATTTAATAATTAATTTTTTATTTTTATTAATACTTGTAATATTATATGTATCACATGATTTATGTCATATTATTGATTTTGAATTTTCATTCTTAATATTTATTCTTCTCTATGTCACTACTTATAAATTTAACATTTAGAGTAACAAGAGTTTAATTTTAATTTTATAATTATCAAAATATATAAAGTATTAATTGAAAATAAATGAAAAGTGTTTAATTACCAAAAATTATTTGTAAATATTTTGTTAGTAAGGCTTTGTTCAATATAATTATAGTTTTTTATTTTTAGTTTTTAAAATTCACACAATTAAAATTAATAATTAAAAACTAAAAATAAAAATAAAAATAATTAATTTATTAGATATAAAATTTTAAAACAAATATCTAAAATTTCAAACTTAATTAATTTATATAACTATTTCAATTTTTAAAATTGCAATCATATTAAATGAAATCTAATAATTCGGAAGTAGAATTGAAAAAATTGAATCCAATCATAAAATCTAACCTAATCCACTTGAAAATATTAATCCAAAATTCAATATAATCTATACTAAAATTATTTGAACCCATCTCAATTGGATTAAGTTGAATTAGGTTAACTTGCGATTATTCGATTAAAATTAATTAATTTTTAAAAATTTAAAGTTTAATTAATTATACTTTTAATTTTTAAATATAACAAATTAAATATTATAAAATAATAATTATTTTTTACATATTATTAGAGTTAATATTAATTTAATAAATCTTTATTAAATAATTAATTAATATTATTTTTTAAAATAAATATTTTTATTTTTATTTTTATTTTTAAAAAAATTAAGTTCACCCACCCTAATCTAAGACATCTATATCTAAGACATCCATAGATGAATTATAAATTTACCTACTTTAACTCAAAATCTCAGTTGAATTAATTAGAAGCCTCTATAGATGAATTATAGATTTACCTACTTTAACTCAAAATCTTACTCGAATTAATTAAAAGCCACACCTTCCGACCTATTCACCTAAGTAAATATTTGGATATTGCAAGGCGGTAGGTAGCGAAGCGAAGGAAAAGAAAGGGGGTGTGGAAAGAGAAGGGGTATGTGTGATGTCGTCGAGGAGTCATAATTTTGAAATGAGGAATAAGAAAGCACCACGTTGTCCAATTGAAGTAGACATTTAATTTTGGCTTTTTTCCATGTTTTGCTTTTATGTCGGGGAAGGGATTAATTTTCAGCTTAAATAGTTAGCAAAATTGACTTAAAGCTTTGAAACGTGTCCTCGTTTCCAATAATTAAATTATATAATTCTCCCACCCCCAATTCTGATTCTAAGGTCGGCCGAGAAAGTTCTGCTGTCTCAAACATTTGGTAATGTATGTTATCTGGTGTTATATTTTTCTAGTCCCTAGACATAGAATATAGAATCACATTGGAAACTTCTGCATAGTTTTTCTCACCTCAACAGCATGACTTCATTTGAATAGGGGAGAGATGATTTCGCAGCCTAACGTGACATATTCTTTAACAAAAATTCAAAGATGTCAACATTATTTTTGTCAGTTAAAAGTACACAGGTATTGGGATAACAGAGTGAAAATGAGTGATTGATATGCATGCTGGACCATTAACTTGATTAATAGGTTAGTTATTTGAAGTTAATGTTGTGTTTTTATGTATTGGGTTTTTTTTTTTTATTAATTTTTTGATATTTAGTAATTAAATTGGATCTCAATTAATTTAAAATCAAAATACGTTGGATTTAATTAAGAAAGAAACTCTTTCAACTCTTATTTTTCTATTCACAAGACTCGAATTAAATATTTTACTTCGAACCAATGCGTCATTGGTTATGTATTAAGTTATTGGTTGTATGTACTTATGGTTTGGTATATCTCAAGTACATTTATAAGTTACATTTAAGGGGTCTCTCTGTCCTTTTTAAATCAATCGTATCTATATATTTATAAGTTACATTTAAGATTTTTTATTTATGTTAGAAGAAAATTTTTAATAAGTCTTTTAATTACTAAACCTAATAGATGTACTTATTTTAATGAGTTAGAATCAACTCTTAACTATTCATTTAAAAATATAGTAATTAATACAATATTTGAATTGTCAAAATAACTTAAATTTTAAAATCGTGTGGCTCAAAATTGGTATGAGAATTTTTTGAACTTACACCCATGTGAGTTCATCCTTACTTTATTTTAATATTTATTGTAATAATCCATTTTAGAATAAAGATAAAGCAGGAATAAGAGGTTTAAATACATTTTTAAGAATAAAGATTTAAAGCTAATTTTAAAGGCTAGAAAGTAAGAAATTTAGATTTTGAGTAGAAATTTTCTTGATGAGTGAAATAGATTTATTTTTTTTTTCTTTTATAACAAAAGTAAATATTAAATAAAAAAAACGGAGGAAAGACAGAGAAAAAATTTAGAGTATTATATTAATTTTAGGTAAAGCAGTCTTAAAATTTATCAAAAACTGATTAACGTTCACCTTGAAAATGAAGCAGATTTAGAACATACTCAAGTCTACACTATATTGATCACGGATGGTCTTTCTTTGAATTAAAATAAAAATATTATTTTTTTAATTATTATATATATAATACTTGTTGAAAGAATAAGTTGTCGGCAAGATCCATCTCAAGGTGGCTAATAACGCAGCAGATATATTTTGAAGAAGATGGAATAATCAAACAACAAACCATTGCTTATTTTCTATTCAAGTTTTCCACCCAATGAAATGATGGCATGTGTTATAATGCTATCATTCTTGTCTTTCTGACCATTTCTCATCTTTTTTGGTCAAAAAATCTAAACCTATTACTTTCAATCTTTGTTATTTTCTTCCTTTTATTTTTTTGAATTAATAATCTACTAACAACATTAATAAAAACTTAATTAATTAAGTTAATACTTACTAATTAAAAATTTTTAATTTAGTGTTAATATCAAATATTTAAACATGTATAATAGCAAGTAATTAACCACTTATGTTAAAAAAAAAAAAAAGGCTGGCAGCAAGCTATCAGACTTATTTTAGATGACCCTTTTAAAAACAAAATTGTAAAATTTATGTGTTAAAGAGGACAATAATTCTTCGTTTCAAAAAGAGGACAATAATTCTTGACAGAATGCAACTCAATAATTAGTATTAATAAAAACAATATATTTATTTGGGTGGAAAATAAATTCCTCATTTTGCTCAATTTATGTAGGGTCATTTATTATAATTTTTTATGATTAATTTGTATAAAAAATAATAAAAATAAATTTTATTTTTAACATTAATATCATGTGAAATAATTTAATTAGATTATTAATAAAATTTAAGTCATTTTTTATTTTTTTGGTAAATTAATAACAAAAAAAAAACAATAATTACTCTAACCATAAAAAATTCCTTTCATATTTTAAAAAGTCCTTTTGCATGGGGTGATAGATAATTCACTTTAACATGTCGGTGAAAATGATTAATTTTTAATTAACTTGCGTTAATGAAGGCGATGAATGTTTCGATGTTTCTTTTCTGGCAAACGGCATATATTTTATTTGAATTCAAGTTTAATCATTTAGCCCTTTGGGCTTAAAAGGGGCATGACTTTTTAAGTTGAATTTGTGATGAATTCTATTAGCATTCATTTCCCCGGCCCCCTACTTTTTGGATATTTATATATCTTTTTCCGGCAATGTCATAATTATAATGAAATATAGAATTATAAATTTATAATTAAGATATAATAATAAATAAATAAGTGTATATAATATTATAAATAAATTTTTATATAAAATAAATAAGTGTATATAATATTATAAATAAATTTTTATATAAAAAGAATCAATTATATGTAATATATCATATAAATTTATAATATTACATAAT